CCAAAGGGCTTGGGAAAATTTAAAAATTTTTTTCAAATTTTTTTTTCCCCCCCCCCCCCAAAAAAATTTTTGGGGTTTTCCCCCCGGGGGAAAAAATTTTTTTAAAACCCCCAAAACCCCAAACCCGGGGAATTTTTTAAAAAATTTTTTTTTTTCAAAATTTTTTTTTTTTTCCCAAAAAAACCCCAAAAATTTTTTTTCCCCAAAAATTTTAAAAAGGGTTTTTAAATTTAAGAAAAAAAAAAAAAAAATTTTTTTTTTTAAAAAAAATTTTAAAAACCCAAAAAAAATTTTTTGGGTTTTAAAAAAACCCCCCCTTTTTGGGGGGCGGGGGAAAAACCCGGGGAAAATTAAAAAAAATTTTTTCCCCCCCCTTTTTTTTTTTTTTCCCGGGGGTTTTTTAAAAACCCCCCCCCAAAAATTTTAAATTTTCCCCCCCCCCCTTTTTTTTTGGGGTTTTTAAAACCCCCCCCGGGTTTTTTTTTCTGGGAAAACCCCCTTTTTTTTTTTTTTAAAAAAAAAAAAAAACCCCCCCAAAAAAAAACCCAAAATTTTTTTTGGGGGAAAAATTTTTCCCCCCAAAATTTTAAAACCCCCCCCCCTTTTCCCCCCCCTTTTTTTAAATTTTTCCCCTTTTTTTTTTAAAAACCCCCCCCCAAAACAAAAAAATTTTCCCCCCTGGGGAAAAAAAAGGTGGGGGGAAAAATTCCCCCAAAAATTTTGGGGGGAAAAACCTTTAAAAATTTTTTTTTTTCCCCCCCCAAAATTTTTCCCCTTTTTTTAAAAAAAAACCCCCCAAAAAATTTTTTTTTTTTTTTTTGGGGGGTTTTTTCCCCTTTTTTTTTAAATTCCTTTTTTTTTTTTCCCCCTTTTTAAAAAAGGGGGGGGTTTTTTTAAAAAAAAAAAAATTTAAAAGGGGTTTTTAAAAAATTTTTTAAAAATTTTTTTTTAAAAAATTTTTTTGGGGGAAAAAAAGGGGGGAAATTTTTTTAAAAAAAAAAAAAAAAACCCTTTTTTAAAGGGTTTTCCCCCGGGGGAAAAAATTTTTTTTTTCCCAAAAAATTTTTTGGGGGTTTTTTTTTTTTGGGGGGGGGGTTAAAAAAATTTTTATATTTGGGGCCCCACCCCCAAAATTTTTTTCCAAATTTTGGGGTTTTTTCCCCCGGGGGCCCTTGGGTTTGGTTTTCCCCCGGGGAAAAACCCCCCCTTTTAAAACCCCCCAAAAAGGGGGTTTTTCCCCCCCCCCCTTTTTCCCCCCCCCCCGGGGGGGGGGTTTTTAAAATTTTCCCCCCAAAAAACCCCCCCCCCCCCCCCCAAAAAAGGGGGGGGTTTTTAAAAAACAATTCTTTTTTTCCCCCCCAAAAGGGGTTTTTTCTTTTTTGGGAAAAACCCCCCCGCCCCTTTTTTTTCACCCAAGGTTTTTTCCCCCGGCCCCCCTTTTTTTTAAAAAAATTTTTTGGGGGCCCTTTTCCCCCTTTTTTTTTCCCCCTTGGGGTTTTTTTCCCCCCCTTTTTTTTTTAAGGTTTTTTGGGGGTTTTTTTTGGCCCGGGGGGGAAATTTTTCCCTTTTTTTTTTTTTTTTGGGGGGTTTTTGGGGGGGGGAAAAATTTCCCCCCCCAAAAGGGGACCAAAAATTTTTTTTTAAAAAAATTTTTTAAAAAAAAATTTTTGGGTTTTTTTCCCCAAATTTTGGGGTTTTTTTTTTTTTCCCCCCCTTTTCAAATTTTTAAAAAAACCAAAAATTTTTTTTGGGGGGTTTTTTTTTTTTTTTCCCCCCTTTTTAAAAATTTTTTTCCCCCTTTTTTTAAAAAAGGGGAAAAATTTCCTTTTGGGGGGGCCGGGGAAAAAATTTTTTCCCCTTTTTTTAAATTTTGGGAAACCGGGGCCAAAAAAATTTTTGGGGGGGGGGGGTTTAAGGGGGGGCCCCCCCCCCTTTTAAAAAAAAAAAGGGCCCCCCCCCAAAAAAAAATTTTCCCCCCAAAAACCCAAACCCCGGGAAAAAAAAAAAGGTTTTTCCCGGCCCCCTTGGGGGGGGTTTTTAAAAAAAAAAAATTATCCCCGGGGGGGGGCCCAAACCTTAAGGGGAAAAACGGGGGGGGAAAAAAACCCCCGGGGGGAAAACCCCCCAAAAAAAAAACCCCCCCTTTCCCCCCTTTTTTTTTGGGGTTTTTAAAATTTAAAAAAAAAAAGGGGGGAAAAGGGCCCCGGGGGCCCCCCCCCCGGGGGGGG